GTGGTTTAAATGATAGCTTATTTATAGTGATAGTTTAATGTAGGCGAAATTTCAAGTTGAGCATATATTCAATTTTTAGTATATGGCAAGTTAATCTCATTATTTGATTCATCCACGCCAAGGCGAATCCGACATTCTCGGTGACCTCTTGCGTTATCTTAAATTTCTCAACAAATACAAGCAGTAACATTTATAACGTAAAATTTTCCGTTCTTTTCGAATCATTCATTACACTTTACCAAAATATAGTATACAAGAAAGTCACAAAAGATTTTTCTAAAAAATAATTTGCATTTTTGCTAAATATCTTCGATTTAACGATATTTTTAGACTGACAGGTGCTCTTAAGAAAATAGTTGCGTATTATTTTACGTGATCTGAGTGATGAAAATGTAAACTGATTGATTGCTTGCAAAAAGCATAGTTCCTCACAACATAATGTTTTCTTAAGTTTGTTATCTGGGTTATAACACATCTATTTCTATACGAAAAGAAGCATATTCGCATACTTAAATATACTTGCTATTAAGATACACTTCAAAAATTAATTTCTTTGTGAATTTAAAAAAAAACAAAATAATAAAAATAACAAAACAAGAACAAAAAACAAACCTCTTCCTGGACTGGTACCGTGACGTGGTGAAGAGGCTTACATATTATTGATATACATTTCTGTAATATAACCAAACCTAATCTTACATCCAAATTATTCCAGTTCAAAGTCCCTCGGATATAAGGTTTAGAGTATCTATCGAGCCTCCAGTATAAAAATACCGATCACTTGAATATTTTCAGCAAAAACCCGATTTTTTTGTAAAATCGACAGTACCTCATTAAAACAAAGTGTTTGATAAAATCTAATGGTAGATTCATACAGAACGAAAGATTTTACATAGGAAATGGTACATTTTGCATATTTGAGAATCTTGAACACAATGAACGAGTGTGCCGGGAATATTGGATTCATCTTGGCGTGAACAAACCAACTAACAGGTTCGACTTGTCATATCTCCAAAACGAAAATTATGTTCAACTTAAAATTTTGTCTACTCTAAATAGGCCAGTTATTAGAGCTTTTTTTCGGGAAAAAAATACTATTAGAAGTTTCTCTGCGGAATATTGTTCAGAAACGTGTTATAAACAAAATATCAAAAAATCAACTCTAGACTAGTTGGGAAACTTTGTTAAAACAATGGTCAAAATTATGGAAAAGTAGTTTTTCGACTGGCGTAAAAAAACTGTTATTCATAGAGAAAAAAAGGTTTATACAAAAAAGGTAGGTATTAAATAAATCTGTAAAATAAGACAAGTCCGATTAAATTCCGATAATTTGTTTATGCGCAAGAGCTCAAAAATGGTCGAAATTGTCCGCTTTTTTCAATTGCTAATAATTAATGCAATTTTCATCGCAGACACTTGTAATTCAGGATTTTTGAAGCTTTTTGCACCCTTAATAAGTGGTAAAAATTTCAGCCCAAAAACTTCATTAGCTTGGCGTTGGCGGAATTTGTTATCTAAGAAGATGCTATTTTCAATTCATTTTTCCCAAGCTCACAGGCGTTGTAGGGTTTCGATCATTAGTTGTTTTTGTACCTAAATAGTTGTATTGACATATGCATTTACTGACAATTTAATTTTTCAAATTTAATTTGTTTAAAAATGACTGAAAAAATTTTAATATTTATTAAATTGTTAAGCGCGCATGCTCCGCCTCGCTCTCCCCACTCGTTCGCTAGACCAAGTTAGAGAACGCATCGCCGCTATCTTCTTTTTCGCAATTACATAGTTGAATTCACCTTAATGTTAATGTAGGACATGAAAATATAGCTGTTAATGTATACTCTCTCCAAATTTCGGCTATTAATATTAATAATTAAGGTCACTGCGATTAAATAAAAAAAAATTATCTCAGCTTCTAATCAACTTACAATTTTTTTTTTAAATTCGAAGAAAACTAAAGTAAACAGGTTACTATTTTATTTTATAATAGTAACCTGTCTTAACAATTTTATAAATATTAACATTTTTTCAGTCATTTTTAAACTAATTAAATTTGAAAAACTAAATTCTCAGTAAATGCATATGTCAATACAACTATTTAGGTACAAAAACAACTAATGATCGAAACCCTACAACGCCTGTGAGCTTGGGAAAAATGAATTGAAAATAGCATCTTCTTAGATAACAAATTCCGCCAACGCCAAACCAATGAAGCTTTCGAGCTGAAATTTTTACCACTTATTAAGGGTGTAAAAAGCCTCAAAAATCCTGAATTACAAGTGTCTGCGATGAAAATTGCATTAATTATTAGCAATTGAAAAAAACGGCAATTTTCGACCATTTTTGAGCTCTTGTGCATAAACAAATTATCGGAATTTAATCGGACTTTCCTCATTTTATAGGCTTATTCAATACCTACCTTTTTTGTATAAACTTATTTTCGCTATGAATAATAGCTTTTTTTACGTGAGTCAAAAAACCACTTTTTCATAACTTTGACCACTGTTAAAACAAAGTTTCCCAACTAGCCTCGAGTTGATTTTTTGATATTTTATTTATAACAGGCTTCCGAACAATATTCCGCAGAGAAACTTCTAATAGTATTTTTTTCCGAAACAGGCTCTTTCATGTCTATAATGACTGGGCTAAAAGTATCACCACAAGCTATTATTTAGAGCACTTTTGAATCGAATTCCTGAGGTCGACGAAACGGGCGAAATTTTGGGTCACTCTTTAAAAATTTGTTCAAACAAAACGTAAAGATTTAACTTATAGTGCTAAAAAAATATTATTACAGGGTGAATAATGATTTATATATTATTTGATGTTTAACTGAATAACACAAATTGACGATAAAGAAAAACATTTTTTTAAAATTCTCTAAAATGCCATCTTTATGACTTTACACAAACATATTCGTGTTCGTTCTAACATGAACCAGTCTTCAAGCTGTGGACATGGTGTTTTTCGCAAACGTGTAGAGTTTTACTTCTAAAACAAAACTGTACAACTATCGTCAAATATCCAGTGCGCAACACGCCAAAATTTATAGGAATAGTTTCTTACATAAATATCTAAAAAAAATACTTTTTTCGCGTCAGTCAGACAATTCTGTTTTAGATACTTTGTGGCAGTAAAATATTACTGAAAGGTTCTAGAATATACTGCTATAACAAGATTTGATATTCTACAACTCTAAAACTGCAAAGTGCCTTAAAAAAATCTTATAATCTCCAGTGTTCAACAATACCTTCAACATACTCACCACCGCCTCATCGATTGTCTGTCTTACAAGCCCTCGGGCCTGGACATGAATCGAAAATCCGACACGATGCTGCTTAGTAAACGGACACTTTGTTAACTCAAGAATAACTTTTCAACTCAATCGTTGTCAGAATTTATATTTTCTTAAGTCAAGAATACACTGGAAATATTTTCTACTAGTCTACATTTTTTAATAAATTTTATGTATGTACAAGATTATTCATTACACTTTGATTATAGGGTTACCACAATTACTACTTCTTTTAAAAAAAAATGGTAAATGCAGACATTATTCTACTAGGTTATATTTCACCGAACAACTTACACCAGTAGATACAAAATAATGTTTTGTGTCAGTAGGCATTGAGTAACAATGACATTTACTTTGTAGGTTATATCTCGCAAAACTACCTATAATACCAGTAGGTGCAAAGTAATGCTTTGTGACAGTAGGCGTAGTAGTGAACCAGCTGCATTTAAAATGACATATACTTTGTAGGTTATAATGTCACAGAGTGACCTACAGCAGTCGTAGCAGTAATGTTATGTACCAGTAGGCATCCAGTAACAATGACATTTAACATACAGATTCGGAAAGTCCCCATGGTTCATCGGCCGTTACGTCAGAGCGATAAACTCATAGAAATCCGTGGGATAGAGAAGGATGGCTATAATGAAGGCGTCTCATAGTCACCGCCCGTTTCGCCCTTCCACTTCCACTTGTAATTCAGCCACCGGTGGTCATCTTTGTTCTCGTCGTTTGGCTTTTCTTTAATAGATGTCTCTACTTATACAATTCCGACTTCGGTATTCCGATATGTTAATACAATCCGTTAACAGAGGGCAGCACAACGCGTAACAAAAAAAACTTTTTACAGTTTACTCTGTTTGTAAATCTAGTGACCTTGTTTCCCCTACTGAAAAGTTATTCACTATGGAGTATAGTGCTCAGCCGCATTTAGTTGTTATTTAAGTATACTTTTTAAAATGACTTAAAAATCCCAAGAAATAAAGCAAAATTCCCTACTTCCCCAATTCCAAAAAAATCTGTAGATCTGGCATCACTCTTTCTAGGGCTGAGCTTCATCTTAGACAAATTGTGCTGCCCTCTGTTAACGGATTGTATTAACATATCGATAATACCGAAGTCGGAATTGTATAAATAGTGACATCTATTACAGAAAAGGCAAACGATGAAAACAAAGATGACCACCGGTCGCTGAATTACAAGTGGAAGGGCGAAACGGGCGGTGACTATGAGACGCCTGCATTATAGCCATCCTTCTCTATTGCACGGATTTCTATGACTTACTTTATCGCTCTCACATAACGGCCGATGAACCATGGGGACTTTCCGAACCTGTATACTTTGTAGGTTAAATCTCAAGCATACAAAACAAGGGTAATTATAATGAATAAAAGAATAGAAGTAATTCCTTAGAGACGCCTAGTTCAAAATATAATTCATTTTAGTGAAGATGTAGCTCTATAAAGAACTCATTAAATTAAAATGCAGCAACTGCTTCGCATTTTTTAGCAGTTGAGGTTTCCGCGTGTCTGTCGGGCATCGTTATACATAACGTTAAGTTGCAAAAATTTAATAACAAATTTTTTTTCTCAAAATTTTACATAAACCAGAAAAATAACTAACTGAATTGAAAATTTGGAATAATATTGTCATAAAAATATAATTTTAGGGCAAAATATCAAAAAAAAAATAGAAATATCAAACTTACCTCTCGTTCAGCTTCTTCTATGGCCTTTTTCAGCTTATACTGCTCCAAGATGGCTTGCCGTCTAGCCGCCTGCTCCTCCTTCTTCCTGGCCTTCTCCTCCTCTTTCGCCTTTTCCATTTCCTTCCTGGCCTGCGCCTCGGCCTCTTTCCTCGCCTTCAGCTCTTCCTGCTGCTGCCTCCTCTGTAGCGACAGCATCATTATCTTCTCCTTCTTCCGCTCTCTCTCGTAATCCAAGTCCTGCAACGACAATTAGATACATGACGGACACCAACCCCAAGACTCCTCCTTCAAAACTTACCGGATCCGGATTACTGAGCTCGTTCCCGATAATAATGGTGCTGGCGGCGGCAACTTTCTGCCTCTCCTGACTGGCCTCCCGTTTCGCTCTCAACTTCTCCCTCTCCTGTTCGATTAACATCTGCCTCCGTTTCTCGTCTTCCTCCTTCCTCATCCTCTCCTCTTCCAGTTCCTTTTCTAGCTGCCTCTTCTTCTCCAGCCTCTCCTGTTCTTCCTTTCGTTCCGCCGCTTCCTCGGGAGATTCCACGTAGCTCCTCTCTTTCTTGGGCGACATCCGTTTCGTCCTCAGGGTCGGCTTGGGCCTCTTGGGCTGGTCGTTATCGAAACTGATATAGAACCCTTTCTGACTGGTCGGGTCGTTGTCCAAGCTGCTGATCTCGGCGACGGGCGTAGGTTCCGGCGGGGGCGACGACGGTGTGGGCTGGAAGGAGTTGCGGGTGATGAGGGGGCGCGTCGGGGACGGTATCCTGTACGTTCTGCTGCCCGAGGTGATGTTCAGCCTGCTGAGACCTAAACGGGAGTTTTTTTTTTTAAGATTCGCCGGGTGTTTTTTTTTTAATTGTGGTACCTTCGGTGAGTTTATCGTCTGCTGCGCTGTTCCCGATAAACGATATATTCTGGGGTTCCATGTCGTCGGCCGGGGGGGCCGGGATCGGGGCGTGGGTGACGCTGGTTTTCCTCTCTCGGCCGTCGATCTGTTGGAGGCTGACGGGGGTCCTCTTTCCCTCGTCCATGAGCTGGGAGATTTGTCGATGTATGTTCCTGTGCTGGGGCGAGGCGGAGGGGGTGCTGTGCGACGTGCCGTAGTGCGGGTGTTGCTGCTGGAGGTGTTGCTGGCTCAACGTGAAGCTGTTCGAGTGGTGCAAGGTGGGCTCCTCGCCGTTCTGGTATTTGTTCTCGGAGTAACGGGGACTCTCCGAGTAACGGGTGCTCTCCTGGTACCTCGGCTGCTCCTGGTACCGGATATTTTCGAATCTAAACAGATAAAAAAAGAATTGTACGTATAGGTGTGTAAATATAAAAAAAAAATCCTATGTTAGATATAAATTATTAAATAAATCGAAATATTTTGGGAATAAAACTACCTACCTGTCTGGTGTGTCGTGCAACATAAATCCGCCGCCGCCTATGTCCCCTCCGGTGCTCTGCGGTTTGCCCCAGGTTCTCAGCTCCGGTTGGTGGTAAGGATCGCGGACTGGCGGGGGTTGGGGCTGTTGGGCCCAGGTCCTCCGCTGAGGTACCACCGGAGGGGAGGGCATAGCCACCGATTGATCGTGCAGGAAGAATTGCGGCTGCTCCTGCGTCCTCGACTGGTTGAAGATGGCCTGCGGTATGTGAGGAGCGCTAGCCGACGATTGCAGCGGCGGAGCGTAAACTGAAATGGGCGACAAAAGTTTTTTTTTTCTCTCCCTCGGATACGTTTTTATTAATTATTAGTATATTTTTGGGTAAATGTTGCATAACCCAAAAATTAATAAACATTATTACTTTTCACCCAACTTTGTGAAAATGTCTTTTTCATATGCTGATTATCGTCAAGAATAGGGATTTTAAATAAAACATATTTTTAAATTAAATGAAAAAATCAAATTAAGTAAAATTAACTTTTAAGAAACAATCGAATTACCTTGCTGCGGCGGCTGATATACCGGCTGCTGGTACTGCGGCTGGGTGTACTGCGGTAGCACTGGCGGCGGCTGCATGCTCTGGTACTGCTGCTGTTGGAGGGCTTGGATTTGTCGTTGTTGTTGGGCGATCAAGTTCTGTTGGTGCTGCTGCTGGATCTGATTTTGTTGCGATGCGAGCCGCTGCATGTCCGATTGGATATCGTGTAGACTAGAATTCATTCTGAAAATTTTAGATCTAGATTTTACGCATTACGCATATTGAAAGTGTGTTCATTCAAAAATCGAGAAATAAGTCAAACTACTAAATTTCAACATGCGATTTCTTACAAGACACAAAATGATGTCGGGATAAATTCAAGTGCGTTTTAAAAAGTATAGTACTTTAAGACCCCATTAATGGTTTCAGCAAATAAATTTACCGTTCCATGTATCATAACCACAAATATGTAAAAAAATTCGAGATTTTGGCAATTTTAGGTTAGGATATCTCGAAAACCAGAACCAATTGAGAAATTTGGACCTCGAACTCCATTTCAGCACACCAAAATCCTTTGGGAAAGTATATTCGCGTTATTGGGTTAAAATCTTATCGGTCTGTGTTATTAAAATATGTATCAGAAAGTGATAACTTTAGAAATGACAGCAAGGATTGATTTTTTCCACACAGTAGTTCAAATGTTAGTTCAGTCATTGAAGCTGAAAATCAGCTGTAACCTCCGAATTCTTTGAAACTGCATGGATTTGCATGAAAATTAGAATAAGGCTCATCTTAGGCTCAAGTTCAAAAGTGACATAAGCCCGATTGACGCTTTTTGTTTTTTTAGGGGTAAAAGTACCGCTAAGTGAAACAAAGTGAAAAAATTAAGTTTTAAGCATTTTATTGACAAAAATCTTGTTCAAGCATAAAGATTAAATAATGTTCCATGTTCTCGAACATGTTTTATGATATATTTGATCTTTTCGACCCTTTATTTAACCCTTAAAAATACCCCTATGCAAAAAATAATGATAAAAAATACTTTTTAAAGATTTGGAATGATTAAATCGTGTAATTATTTAAAATAAAAGTTACGTTATAGGTAATAAAAGAATTTTTCCCTTTCAACCCCTAAAAACCACCCCTGTATTGACAAAAATGATAAAAAATTACTTTTTAAAAGC